TCTTCGGATGCGTTCATAAATATTTATTTTTATCCACCAAGAACGACCGGTTATTTTTGCGTCCGACTACAGAATTTTTTTTTTTAAAAAACAATATAATGCAGCCAGTTAGGAACTTTATAGCTAATTCTTGAATCAGTCCGATACGCGAGGTTTTTGAATTGTAGTGTCCCTCATCGATTTGAAAAATCGCTTATTATACCCTCAATAATCGATTTCATATCGACATGCCTACTGTCCACCTCACACTGCACACGCCTGGTTCTTTGTCCACAGTAGGGATGTCAATGTTGTAGAAACATCGATGATGACATCGATGTTGAGATTGATAGCTCAACATCGATGTTCGATGTTTATCCTACTTAAAACATCGATGTTGACCACTATCGATGTTTTTTTTGCACATGTATTTAATAGGTTAGAATTAGGAGGCCTCAAAGGTCACTGCCCATCCCTCAAAGGTGGTTTTTAGCGGGTAACACTTAGGTTGGTAGGTTAGTTCATACCACGACAGACCGGCTGTCGTGGTATGCATAAAGCATTTACCACCTCCTCGCGTACCTCGATGGTAGCCCTTTCCAATTACTTCTGGGCGCAAAAAAAAAATAAAAAATTGTCATGTTTTTATAGTTTATAATTAATGAAATAAAAGAAATTAATTAATAATGTAGCGTAAAAGAGTAATTAAAAAAATTGGAAGAAGTTCACATATATCTAGTTCATTTGTTATATTGTTCAATATTTTTGCTCATTGATTGAACAAATAATAATTTTGACAAAGAAGTACCTTTCAATCTGTTTCTCTGTTGATAAATCTGTTTCATTCGGTTTTGCGCCTGCGTCTGGTTGATTTAAAGTTTATTCTAAAATTCGCTCTCAAAAATTTGTGATTGGTTAATTTTTGAAGTCTCAGTTCCTTATCACTCTTGCTTTGTATTTGCGAAGCGGCAACTCTCAGTGAATGGACCTAGAGTGAAACAACATAATATATTCAGTGGTTCCTGCTCAGCAAATAAGCGTTCTGTTTACGGAGTCTTTGGAGTCTCCAACCTCGCATGCAGCGTTTGTTCGTGTGGCTGCGTCGCGCCAACTGAGCCACCGAGCTAGTGACGTAAGTCACAAAACTACGCTTCGCTAACCGCTTACCGGGTAATATCATCCGTACTATTTATTTACTTTTCATTGCTGTGTATAGAATTTGACCTTCTGCGCTTCTTATATACGTTAGAATGTCGAAGTGTGCTGCATGTGGGCGATTTGTCAGTTCTGCGGAAAGTATTAAATGTACTGGATGTAACAATGTTTATGATCGAATATGTCTTAAATTGCCTAAAAGTTTTAAGATGCCACAAAAATGGATGTGCCCGGATTGTATGAGCAAACAGCCGCGTAAAGACAACTCAGATACGCCAATTAAGGCACAAACTGATTTTAATAAAAGCGAATCTTCAGCGTCTTCACCATTAGAGTACTGTGACTCGGATGACAAATGGTCACAAATTATGCATGATCTTAAATCAGAAATAATATCTATGCGTCAAGAAATTACAAACTTTAGCGCAAAATTTGATAAAGTTTATACGGCGATAGGCGATCTATGCAAGCGAGTCGATTGCATAGAACACAGATTAGATGCGCTTGAGCAACAAAAAAATTGTGAACCACCTTCAAACAGTACGAATGAAATTAGTGAAATGATGGAATGTCTTAAAATGGAACTAAATGACCGTGATCAAGAACAACTTCTTATGGATGTAGAAATCTCCTGTCTCCCAGAAGTAAAGGGCGAAAATCCGACACACCTCGCAATTCTTGTAGCTGAAAAACTGGCTGTGAAGTTATCTGAGGAGGATATTGTTAGCGTGGAGCGTATGGGACCGCCACGCACAAACCGTCAGCTTTTTTATAAAGTCCGTCAAGAGCCCTCTAACCATGGCTGGAAATATGTATGGACGCGGGATGGTCGTATTTACGTTAGACGTCGACACGATACTGAGGCACGTCGTATACGTTGCGACGTTGACATCATGAAGGTTTTTGGCGAGTGCTGTTGGTTTAAAATAGATACTGTAAAAATAAAAATTAAACCTTTTTTTCATAAATATTTAATATTTTTAGTGTGCTTTAAAAACTTATATGATTCTAGAACAATTTATAATAAATTGTATCGGTATTATCTACTATATTTCAATTATTACTCTACGCCTGATTGCTTATTGCCGCAACATATTCTCATGCTTATTATCTTAATATTTATCGCAGGGTTCCTGCTGTGTGATGCGGTGCAAATATGTTATATATTTATTAATGTAGAAGGTGCTACATTTATTATTATTAACTTGATAAATATTTGTTATTCGTTATATTTAATTATGATGTATGTTTCTGTATATAATATATATTTATATACCGTATTCCATTACATGCTTTTTATTATATTTTTGCTAAACAATTTAATTATTAATAATCTATGATTTAATGATCTTTACCGTTGCTCAAATAAATTGTTTATAATGCTTTGCATATAACAGTGGTGTTATTCGCGGCTGTCTATATAATTCTGTTTTTATATAAACATACTGTTGCTACAAACAGCTTTTCTTAGCATGGGCGCGAAAAAACATAAAGTTAAGGTTGGCTTTCTTAACCCAGGCTCACTTGGAACAAGACATGACGAATTTATAGTGGCAATGCAAGAGCATGACGTAGATATCATGGTCATAAATGAGACTTGGCTTCGAGAAGGTGAGGATGGCCGTGCACCTATAGTTCCCAATTACCGTCTACGTCATATTCCACGATCTAATACAATACGGGCACGCGGTGGTGGGGTAGGCTTTTACGTACGTCGCACAATTACTGCTCGGGTGTGCGCACACCCTACTGCATCCCAAGTCGAGCAAATATGGCTCAGTTTAAACATCAATGGGACAAAACTCATCACAGGCACGGCATATCGCCCGCCATGGTTAGACGTTGACACGTTTTTTGATGCTCTAACTGATACCATATCTTCCTTTTCCTTTCATGACTATATAATAATACTAGGTGACTTCAACATCAATTTATTATATCATGATCGTAACTCAGAGAAATTCAATGATTTCATAAAATATTTTAACTTAACACAATATGTAACACAGCCTACACATTTCACCGAGCATAGCTCAACATTAATTGACATAATTTGTAGTGATCTTGCAGTCACAAATGTAAAAGTAGATTTTATACCGAGTCTAAGCAGTCATGCTTTCATAGAGGCAGAACTCCAAATAACAAAACCAAAACTACCTCCCCGTAAAATCACATATCGCCCACTAAAAAACATCGATATAAATATTTTTGATAATGAGATTGACGCTATTGACTGGGAGGCAATGTCAAACATAGCAGATGAAAACGAAATGGTGCTTCAGTTTAACAAAGCCATAATTTTTCTTTTTGATTGCCACGCACCCATCAAAAGTACCCGTATTAAGGAAAATACATATCCCTGGATCACATATACTATCCGTAAAATGATGAAATTACGCAATGAAGCATATAAGCGTTATCGCTCGTCTGGCCTGAGCAAGCATAGAGATTATTACAAGGAGCTGAAGAGTTATGTAATTACAGCAATACAAAATGAAAAACGTGTGTATTTCAATCACTATATAAACCGTAACCTGAATAACTCAAAAGCTCTCTGGAAGAACCTGAAACGTTATTCTAATTTAGCCGGCAAACACCGTGTTACTGAAATCCCTGAGCACTTACAAAGCCCAGACAGACTGAACTTTCATTTTTGTACGGTACCCGGAGAAATAATAACACCAATCTCGAAACTTACTTATTACGAATTTCATCGTTTTGGAAACGCATCTTTTGAATTAAAGCCCACTGATGAAACCACAGTTTCAAAAGTCATACATTCACTAAAATCAAATGCGCTGGGCAGCGATGGAATTTCTCTTGAAATGTTGCTACTGACACTTCCACGTACACTCAAAGTTATTACAGCTATTATAAACGCGTCATTTCGTACATCTATTTTTCCCGACACCTGGAAAACAGCCATATTTAAACCTCTGCCCAAAAAAATAATGTGTCAGATATAAAGGATTTACGGCCTATTAGTATTCTACCATGTTTATCTAAAGTACTGAAGAAAATCGTGTGTATGCAACTTTCAGCTTTTTTAGAGTGTAATAATATATTACCTGTCTTTCAATCCGGGTTCAGAAAGGCACGTAGTACATCAACCGCCTTAATGGACGTAGTTGACAATATCTTGACATCACAAGACATTGGACAAGGCACGTTACTGGTCTTACTTCATTTTTCCCGGGCATTTGATGCCATAAATATTCCCTTATTGCTATCCAAAATTAGATATTATGGTTTTGAATTGCCCGCTGTTCGATGGTTCGACAGCTATTTATCTAATCGGACACAGATAGTAGAAATTAACAAGGACAATGGTACTCAGTTGCGCTCGTCTCCATGCCGTGTAGTTACACGGCATGGAGACTTCTTCATATTTCATACACTACCGTTTTAGATGTAACTCGAATCTACTCTTAATGTGTAGGTACTAGGTAAGACAGTAACTAAAACAAAGTAAGAACTTTGTTTTAGTTATTCTGTCCCCTCCCCGCCAATACGATAGGTATGCAAAGACCAGTTCATACCTTAGCACGTTACTGTTCGGTTGATCTTTAGGTTTTAGCTGATACGATTTTTTCATACGATCTTATAGCCATACGAATCGATCTGGGTGAAGATCGCATTCCCTTGAATCGATTCAAAAATCGGCAGATCGTATGGCCGTGAATCGAATCGATCTAAAATTCTGAATTGATCTTCCAGAAGATCGATTTAGAATTTTAGATGGGGCATCCCTACTTTGCGCTGTCAAACGTCAATCCAACAACAACCAAAATTACCAAAATAACCAAATTCATTTTGTGTGTATACTTTACGATTGTTTATATAATTGAAAACTATTCAAATTAAAGATGCCGACCTTTAGATTCAATTTTTTTGGTCATGATGACAGTCAATATCAAAAAGGTACATCATAATTAAAAAACTACAAAACCTGATCCTTCTAGTGTATGGAAGAATTATAGCCCCGACTTATGAAGCTACATATTATGTGGAAATTATTATATTCTTTTTAGTTCTTCGAAGTTAAAATGACCCTTTTTTGAGTGGACTTGGAAATATCAGAAGATTATCTTTTAGGAAGTGTGTTTATACGATATTCGTGATTTATTTATTTCATTCGTGTGATAAATTTAAAAAACATATTTTAAATTAGGAATCTGAAAATAATAATATATATACCCTAATACTTACTCGTATGATAAGGCTATTTGCGTTTAATAAAATATTTCACCAATCTTGCAATATCAGTCATAGTAGGCTTAGGTGCGGCAGGTATGGCCCTAGGGTTAACCTAAAGCCACATACATTATAATGATATTATTGTTATTCATAAATAAATTAAAATTTAGTATTGAAAGAATTGAACCTGTTAATTTAAAAAAATTCAGATGAATAAGTATTTTTTATTTATACAATTATCATATGAATCATTTTTTAATCATAAGATTATTGTATGATAAGCAACAGCTTATATTTTATTTACATAACAATCACAAGCTCAATGTAATTATCTATTTATCTACCTTTAGAGGAAGGGTTTTTCCTTCAAATTCTTGATTCTAAAAGTAATCAAATTTAAAACAGTTTTCCCAGTAAATTTTTTATTTAAAAATAAACAAGAATAAATAAAACAATTTCTGTGTTTCATAAGCAAACCCATTACCTCATCTTATACAAAAACACTCACACCTATCACCCAGAGAGGTAGGCAGAGACTACGGACTTCCTATTTGGCATAATGCTGGCACACCTCTTTCGCCTTTACGTCCTATGCATACATGCTCGTCGGTTAAGGGTACTTTTGTCTCAATCCAACATATATCCTAGTACATTGAGCAGATCAGATCTTGTGACCTATAGAATCTTTTATATTAGAAAATATGTTCAAATGTTGTTTAATAAAATGGGATTGAAATTGTGTATGTAGTTATTTAGACTAATTTTTGATAACTAAGAGACAAACTAAATGTTCACCTAATGGTAAATGGCTACTGTGTCTCATGGTCACTTCAAACAAATCAAATCTTCAACAAATCCCAAACAATCAAGGCATTTGTTACTTTTTTGGGGGAAAGAAGGTAGGAGACTGAAAATCCAGATGGCAAGCTAACTTTGACTAATAGAGAATATGTTCAGAATAATGAAAAAGCCTGTATCTAACAAGAAAGTGTGTGTCTCTTTTAAACCCAGATCTTACCACTGGCTTGGTACTGCTGTATAGACTATTAAAAATGGGAGAATTAAAGACTTGATATTAATTATAATTTTTCTATTTAGAGGAAAATGAAGAAATTAAATGGTATGAAAGTGAAGAGATAATACCTAATAAACAATTAAAAGAGCTAGATAATATTGTTGTCCATGCCAAAATGTTTACATGCGATGAAGTAGAAATTGGGCATGTAAATAATTCCGATAAAATATTTATGAGTGGAGATTGTCAATTAAATGCATTAGAATTGGCTGAGAAAGAGCACAGTGACTTAGTAGCTGGTAAATATGAAGGTATAATATCTCAGCTTTTTTGTTGGTATGTGCTTTTAGTTACAACACCAAATAATATGAATCTTATGTTTTAGGTGGTCTAAAAGTATGGGAATGTACAAGTGACTTAATAAAATATTTGGTAGAACATCATGGGTCCATTAACTTTAATCAAGCACAAGTATTAGATTTAGGATGTGGAGTTGGTATTTTAGGCATATATGCATTACTAAATGGATCATTTGTAACTTTCCAAGATTACGTAAGTGTAATTGATTGTAAATTGATATCTTTACTTCTTTTCAAACATCCATTCATTTCACTTTAATATGGAATGTATATTAATTTGATATTATTAAACATATAAGTACTATAAACTTAAAAACATTAGAATAAACTTACGGAGCGCGTAGACGACCTGTAAGCCCTTGTCCACAGTGCGAGCCTAGCGCGGTTGCGACGACGGGCGCGAATTATCAAACACATATGAAACCGCCGTTTGCGTCCATAGTGTAGTGACCAAGGCGGACACCTAGAGCGACGGGCATGACCGAGATAGTGCGCGTAGTTTTCAAACATTCATATCCGCACGTTGTGGCCACACTACAGGCCTAGTCAGCAAGTGATACAATTCGCGGATGCGGTGGTATCAAACCAGTTCCGTCTTATCGCTCGGCGTAAGAGCGTCTTTATTTTTTTTTTTTGTTAAAAAATTTGTATCTTCTCTAGTGATTTTAGGTGATATTTTACTCAGGACGTAATCAAATGTTGACATGGACATTTGAGTATACTCAAAGAATTTTCTAGGGTACAATCTCAATTCTTCATACAAATTTAAAAATTCACCATTTATTTGTCGATTTTTATTTATTTCGTGCACACCCTCTCTAATGTTCAAAATCTCCCATCTCAGGATCGGACTGTCTAGTAGAAATACTAAATCCTCGTCCATGGTTTACAACACCTGTAATATATCTAAGCACACCAACAGCTCGCTCGTCACTGTGGCCACGGCACGCGTCCGTCGTCGCGCCCGCAACAGGCTCATGTAGCCGCGCATTCAGTGTGGACGCACACTAACAGAGGATCACTGCTTAGGGAATACCTAGAGCTCACCGTGACATACTGAGACTTGACATGGTTCAACCTGAATCGTCTCTGCTAGAGTAGTCGGAAAAGGCTCTTTAAAATTTTGGGGCGACCATTGGTATGTGGAATGGGCCCTACACCATTTGTAAGTTGTAGAACCATGCTGCAGCTATATTAGTAGTATAGTTGTAATACAAATGGGTCGGCTTGACCGGAGAAGGACCATGCTCTCACAAAATACCAGCATAAAATAGCAGCTCTGTGTTTCGTATGGTGAGAGTAGAGAACCGGAGACCCTTTTTACTGGAAAAAAGGCATTCCATCTTAGTCCTCACGGGTGACAATGCATCTGCATTTTGATTCACAAATGAGGATAAATGTAGATGTCTATGGGCCACAGCAACCACTTACCATCAGGTGGACTGTGTGCTCGTTTGTCACCCTATTGTATAAAAAACACCACATCAAGCTGAAATTGTAGCCATTAGTCAGAGCTCGTAAACCACACTGATAGACCTTGGACTGAAGTTGTAGTAACTCAGTCTGCGAGTATTGCCTCCATGGACACCATCTACATAGTGCTATAATACATAGCTAAGGTGGTCCGTAGGACCTTGAACTGGAAAAGTCCGGGACTCTACAGACTGCATCACTGGCAGTCTTCTCTTTGTAGGGGTTAGTTAGTGGTGTATCACACTATTCTCGCCCGACATTTTCAGGGAGGTTTCAGTCATAAGCCACTACCGAGCCTTTTCTCCAATGGGATCGCTCATTTTGATTCCAAAAGATTCAAGATACTACAGAACTGAGCAAATACCACTTGTTAAACAATTGCTAAACATCACTTGTGATTTAAGCAATTCCATATGATTGTAACATGTAGTTGTAAAGGGCTTCCACATATTATATCACTGAGTCCCACCTGCACATATTATTATTTTTCTGGAGTTGTTACTCTGTTGTGCAAATAACCTTAATTCCAATGTTGAATCCTACATTATAAATAAGAACAAAGTGGTTTTATTCACCTGCTTTCATCAACTTGCTACATATTTCATCACTTCAAAGGCTTTGAGGTTACTAGATTTGCATTTATAAATTAGGTGGCCATTCAAGAACATATTATATTTCATTATGATGTTTCCAGATATGTGGTAACTCCTAAGAAATAAAATAGAATGCCTGAATACCAGTAAAAAATATCTCTGGTTCTCATCACTTACCATATTATACTACTACCTAATAAAAAATATTATGTACTCTTTCTGATTCTATAATTGTATTTATTTCATCTACTTTATCCATATGTTATAACTAAATAATAATTTTTCATAAATTTAACATAAAAAGTTATCATATAGGTAGACATTTTCATATCTAAATCACAAATACTATCTTTATAACATTTAAAGCTATATAAATACATTTTAAATTACAGAATAAAGAAATAATTGAGTGTGCAACAATGCCTAGTGTGCTTCTTAATATTGAAGAAGAGTTAAGAGCAAATGAAATAAAAAAATGTAAATTTTATTCCGGAGATTGGAAATCTTTCAATGAGAAACTGGATGACTCTAAAGTGTATGACATTATTGTTTCTTCAGAAACTATTTACAATGAGAAAAACTATGACAAACTTGTTTCATTATTTTTAAAAAGGTTAAGCAAGCAAGGAATAATTTATATAGCAGCTAAGACATGTTATTTTGGTGTTGGTGGAGGACTGAGGCAATTTGAAGCACATGTTGAAAAAACTGGTTTATTAAATAGTGAAGTTGTATGGAAAAGTTCAGGTGGTGTACAGAGAGAAATCTTAAAAATAAAAAGAATAATTACATAATACATGCAATTTATTTAATAACCCATCACTTTTTAACTTAATTATTTATTTGTCAATAGAATTTTTTTAATAATTTGAATAAATGGAAGACTATTTGTGATCATTTTTATTCTTACTTCTAAATCTGTGAATTTAAGATTTAACAAATATATACAAATAACATTAAAATCCCAAATTGTCTTTCAAGGTGATAATCTCTCATATACCCATCCATCTTCTCCCTCATGGAGAAATTTTCCATCTGGTACTTCTTTATTTAATGGTTTCCTAAATTTAATTCTATCATGCAGGCGATCTCTTTGTCCTTGCCAAAACTCAACAGCTCTAGGACGAATAATATAACCACCCCTAAAAATCATAGAAAATTGTATAATCTTATATAAAAAGGTATTTAATAGGCAGGTCATATAGCTTGACAAACTGACAAAAGATGGGAAAGAAGGTTATAAAGTAGCAGCCTCATACCTGCAAGCAGGGAGGACAGCTACTACTAGATGGAGTGACAACGTGTTACAACATGCAGGTGGTTTATACAGGTGGCTCAGAACTATACTTTGTGGTTATTATATGAAGGATGCTTTTTTATTACATGAAGGAGTCTAGTTAGCACTGGACATGAGAAGGCTGTAATGATGATGACTATATAATTCATATTTAATCAAATATTACATGTCAAATAAATGATCAAATAATTGTTTATGATATGCATTGTAGGAAAAGTTCTAAAAAATATTTTATACTAATTCTGAGGATATATCATTATAATTTGAAAATTTCAATATATTAAGACTATGATAAAGTAATAAAACATTTCACTTACCAATAACTTGGCCTAGGAACTTCCTTTTGGGGTATCATATATTCAGCTTCTAATTTTCTTTCACGGTCACAGAGAATATCTCTAGATTCGATTGGAGTACTTTGGTAACTAGCACACGCTGCAATTTGACTAGGCACAGGACGTGAATGGAAATATGTAGTAGACTCCTCATCAGAAAGTTTTTCCACATAACCTTCAATTCGCACTGATCTATTCAATACCTCCCAATAGAATGTTGCAGCCACATTTTGATTTTCAGCCTAAAATAATATATGATTATAAGCAATTTATTCAATTCTTGCTGGTTTTAATAAAATATATGTATTTGCACAATATTTACTTACCATCTCCTTAGCTTTTCTACTTTCATAGTTTGTGAAGAATTTGTACCCATCTTTACCATAGCCTTTACATAAAACAAACCTTGCTGAAGGATACCCTTCCCTGTTGTTAAAATATTAAATGCATTAGGAAAAATATTTTGTGCTTTAAGTCAAGCTAAGTAATTTCGTGTGTGCAAGTGTACGCATACCAATCCCTAGAATCCCCACAACCACAACTTTCACTCATGCTTCTAGAATCGTGGCGTTGCCTGTAATCAATAGAAATTAAAAACATACTTTGAAACGGTGGCTAGGCACATAGCATTGGGCTCTAAGATTTCTTTTCTACTGCAAGCTTCTTCAAACCATGCTTTGAATTGACCGAAAGGTTCTTTAGACACTAAGTGTGTCTCCAAAAACGTGTCATCCTTATCTTTGTATCTTATTCTCATTCCTAAAACAATTTATTTTATAATTTACCGACCAAATTAAACAAAAAGTACAAACATAAAAACTTTTACTCACCTCCAATGTCAATACTCATATTGCGCAAGTAGAAACTTTTTCGCACAATTAAACTATTTAGCAGACAATTTTTCCCCATGCGGTCAAGTGAATAAAGTTACTACGTTTTACGTTTTACCATTCGCTTTATTAACACTTACATTAATTTTAGCTCCTTAAACAAAAACAACAGGAACTTACTTACATCAGTGGCATAACAGTCCTAGGAGTAAAGTATTCTGTGTAACAGTCCATACCAGTGGCATAACAGTCCATACCAGTGGCATAACAGTCCATTAGGCATGCGTCAGATATATGATATATCATATATCATATATCAAAACGAATCTAAAATCCGATTTCAAACACAAATCCATTCGTATCGATTTCCCAAACTATAAAATCCGATTTCAAAAATCGACCTAACTAAGCTAAGCTCTTACGATCTGTACCACCAAACGAATCCAAATCGACAATGAAATCGAAATCCGAAATCGACAATATCCAAATCCAAACGCAAACTGATGCGTAGAAATCCGTTTTCTGTTTCTCTCTTTCTAACCAAACATGAAATAGCGGAATGAAAAGGATGGCGCGAATTTTGCGATTTGAATTTTGGTTTGTCCGCTATGAAATCTATTGCACATTGAATTATATGCGATCAATATTATCCTTACTGTTAAGTACTTAAAGTCTATATTTGCTTTGCGAGATTATGCGTAAATGAATTTTGGTTCCGTGTTGGGTGTTTGCTTACTAGAATCTTTGAAATATGCAATCAATATCGTTCTAGTTACACAGTTGTTAAAGACTATATTTGCGACATTGTGTGTTGATTTATTTTTGTTTTTGGTTAAGTGTGTCTTTACTAGAAATATTTTTTTGTTTTCATGTTGTTTTCGTTTAGATGCAGATTTGTCCTTGGTGCAAAGTGCGTGCGTGCCGGTCAGTCGTATCAGTAAATTATTTTGTAGAATTTATAATTTTTAATTATTAGTTTAGAGTTTAGTGTTTAGTGTAAAGAAAATAAAAATTAGTTAACTAAGTGAATTGTGTAAGTGTATTTATATAAGTAAGTTTATATAACATTTAAATATTTTTTGTTTAAACTATTAAGTTTTTTATTTAGATTTTTTAATTGATTAGACGGGAACTGGTTTGATTTTCAAAATGTCGCGAAAACCCAGTGAGATATGGACTCATTTTGACAAAAAATGGATCAACGAATGGGTCGGCTCGACCAGGGAAGGACCACGCTCTTACAGAAAACCGGCGTAAAATAGCAGCTTAATGCTGCTGTGTTTCGTATGGTGAGTGTAGAGAACCGGAGACCCTTTTTACCGGCAACGAGGCATTCCATCTTAGTCCTCACGGGTGACAACGCAACTGCATCTTGAGTCTTTATTGAGGATAGATGTAGATGTCTATGGGTCACAGTAACCACTTACCATCAGGTGGACTGTGTGCTCGTTTGTCACCCGATCCTATAAAAAAAATGCTTCTGGAGTTGCAGTGTGTAAATATTGCAATCAAAATATATCTTACAAATCGACATCGGGTAACCTAGGAGCTCATTTAAAACGATCTCACGCTTCAATTTATTTGGCGCAAAAGGTGAGTACCGATTTAGGAAATAAACAGCAAATTGGGACTATCAAGTGTTTGGTGAGTACATCTAGAGATATGGGTGGCTCAATTCAAGCTGCCGCGGTCGCTGACAAAGAGACAGCTTCCCAGATTCCAGAGCAGATTCTCAATCGAAAACGGCAAAGAACTATGCAAAATTATATTATTAAAAAAATGTCCCCAGAAGAAAGTAAACGAGTTGATCGTTATTTGCTAGAGTTATTCATATCAGAATTTCAACCTTTCCGAATTGTTGAAGACAGAGGCTTTAAAAAATTTGTGAAAAATATCCCGGGATACACGTTGCCTAGTAGGAAAAATATATCTTCGGCTATGATCCCGGCATTGTACCAGACCACTTTAAGTGAAGTACAGACCAGAGTTTATCTAGACGCTAGCAGTGTTTGTTTGACGACTGATTGTTGGACATCGTCCCAGACTGAAAACTATATTGGTGTAACAGTTCATTACATAGACAAAAACTTTGAACCACAACAAATACTTTTAGAATGTAAAGGTCTTAACGAAACTCACACGAGTGCCAATCTAGCTAAGGAATTAAAGAGAGTAACGGACGAATGGAATTTAACACACAAAGTCAATATCGCTATTTCAGACAATGCTCGAAATATTGTCAAAGCAATAGAGACAGAGCTAGGGTGTAAGCATTATGGCTATTATGCCCATTCCCTTAATTTAATTGTGTCGGGGGCTCTGAGACCATTAGAACAGTTAATTGAAAATGGAAAAAAAATACTGGCACATTTTAAACGCAGTACAAATGCAACGGATATGCTTCTTAAATACCAATTAAAAAACATGATTAATTGTGGAGAACTAAAAAGGCTAATCCAACAAGTATCTACAAGGTGGAACTCTACATTTTTTATGTTTCGCCGTTTCATGTTATTAAAGGAAGCCGTTACAAACACTGCATGGCTCTTATAGAAAGAGAATGGCCGATTATACGTTCAGACTGGGACATAATGGAAGACGTATGCAAAGTACTCCAGCCATTTGAAAAGGTCACTTCTTCAGTAAGTGGAGATCAGTACCTCACAGAAAGTATGGTCATAGTCATGACCAACTGCTTGAAGGATATTTGTGAAGATTTTCTTAATAAAGTAGAATATTTCGCATCATTTAATCCAGTTGTGATTGACGTAATACGGAGTTTAAAACACGGATTGAGAGATAGATTTCAGGGAATAGAGCACAGCAAGACCTTCGGAGTGTGATGTCGGCAGGTGTTAATGAAAGAGAAGACGTGTTGCTGAGACTAATTCTTTAATTATACTGATCAATAAACTTAAGAGTACATGTATTTCTTACACTACTAGTAGGGTGGAGACACATACACTACACCTCCCCCGATATTTAAGAAAAAAAAGAAGAGTGTTCTATTTACTTTTTTTTACATGTTATTTTCTTGACAGATATAATAAAAATGATTTATGATTACATGTAATATTTAATTATAATATTATATGAACCCTGAATCTTATTACATAATAATAAATTTAATATTGAAAAATAAAATACAATGTTACTTAACCATTAAATTTATATAATTCCTCAATTGAGTAAAATAAAGCAGTTAAACAAAATATAAAATTAATTAATTAAAAAAAGATTATAATCTCATGATCATGATCAGGTCAGGTTATACATAATATTATCGAGTCAATCCAGGATACGCATGCGATTTTATTTCGTACGTCATTAAACCTGTCGTATTTTTGGTACTAACCAACGTTACAACATCATGTTAACATAATCATGTAGATATATAGGTGGGCAACAATAATAATGCATTTTGCAATAAACTTGACATCATATTATATGTACTTTTTATCCTTTCTAAAAACCTGATGTCTACGAAAAGTTCTCATTGAATTCTTAGCATTTCCATAATACTCGTTTGCGCACCCGACTATCACTGAAATAGCTAATTATCTACCAGATCTTGTGCTTTACCTATTAACATTCCAACATATTTTCATTACTGAAATAAGTTAATATGTCAATTTACTCTAACCAATGTGTATAAAACACTCACTGAATTTATTTTTATCAGTCAAATCTCTCAATAAATTATACTTACAATCCTTGCCATTCAACACATAACTTTAAGTATCTTAACCCATCTTATCACATTAGTGAAATAAAAGAAGAAAAAAAAACTTGCCAAGGAATTATTACAAGTGTTTGAAATAGGTTTTATTATGATCTACCAAGATGGTCATATAATATTAAAATATTCGAGTCAAAATGCGAAACTGATCTATTTTTTTTAAAAAAGATTTCGACCGATGATACCATTCTCCATAATTGGTAACGAATTAAAAACATAGAACTTGTGCTCTGCAATTGCTGAAATACAACATACATATTTGACATAATTGGGCAATATAATAAATATATAATATATTTTTTTTTTTACTATTTTATAGGCATTACAAACTTATATCATAATATAGTCTCGTATAATATTTAGGTACATATATCATTGTCAGTCAGGGATTGAGGCTCACAATATTTTGGTCACAACAAAATTTAAAGTAATATATGCAAACATAGTATAATGAGTTTCAAAATCGTATTAAATAAAGGAATTATTTTCATAATCCATACAAATAAGTTCGCATCACTCTACTATTTTCTCAGAAAATAATAAATTGTAATAGATAAAACGTTTATGATTTGAAAGTTCAATCAATATTATACCGAAAATAATTGATTACATTTCATATTTAGATATCCAGAACAAAGAAGTCAATGCAAAGCAACGTACCTAATAATTTTCGTTAACATAACAACAGACAGATCAAAATACATGTTGTGCTCCCAGCCGCGTAAGCGATTTGTGACACCTTTGTTTTAAATTCCAAAGTACAAGTACCTATATGGAAACGTTTGAGATTACATCGTATGATGGTACCTACTTTCAACAATACAATAAAATGATATCGTGAATATAATCATTTACACAGTTTAGGTAGTAACATTTCATTGTGATAATAGGTTTACATACATTATCAAGTATTCATTATTTAAGTTATTTATAATAGTCGAAAACACATTACTACTTTTTTATTTTATGACTTTTATGGAATATTTTTATCTTAATTGAGACAGAAATTTAAAATATACACTATTAAATACCTAAAGTTTGTTTAAACAAAATATTTATTAACATTAGAAGAGACAATTTTTTTTGAAGCAGATTACATAATTTTATGTTTCGTTGTCCATAATAAAAAAATACTATTGTTATGAAACTTAAAATATTAGAGTAGATACACTTTCGACTTTTTTTTTTTTTTTTAGTAACTAATATACAAAATTTCGTTTAAAATTGTAAAAATTTTACATTAACCAAAAAAAAACTAAGAGAAATTTAGGGTAAAGTTATTGAAAATATGAAAAAGTTTTGCAAATTCATATAAAATATATCTAAGCGAAAACGTATTT